GCTCATGGTATATGAAAACTTGTGGCACAAGTTTTATTAATTCTCGTACAATTAGAATCCATAGGATTCTAACAATCTCCCCCTTTGTCGTTTATTGATTATAATTATTTTGTCCCGCTGAGTAAAAAACCTGAAAATAAAACAATCAGATGATTAGACCGAAGCAAATAAAACGAAAGATCATCATCAACTCTTTTCAACAACAAGAGTGGCATCAACTGCTGCAACAGTAAGTGCCACAGTTTCAGCAACTGTTCCCACAGTAGTGGCTTTGACAGGTGGTTCACAACGGAGTCAGCTCCCCCTGCATGTGTATCTCCCTCTGTGAATGATCCTTAGGCAGCTCCTCTTGTAAATGCATTCATACTCCCCCTTTGCTTACTTGGCTTGGTAGACTTGGGAGGCGGTGGATGACGACGTGGTAAATTATCCACGTGATAAGAGACTCAGCAAATAACATCGGCATTATAGCTCCTCCTTTTATATTCTTGTGAAGACCTAAACCAATTAATGACAATAAACATCTCCATAGAATTTCACTTGGTGTTGTGGACTTAGAATCCCACGAGATTCTAACACTCTCCCCCTTTGGCATTGATTGGTCAGAATATTTACTCCCCCTAACTATATGATACATGCATGAACAAGGGTTAGCAAATTCAGAATAACATCTGCACATATAAACTGTTGCAACAGTTTATCAAACAGTTCACCAGATAGTGTAAACCGTAAATAAACCATAGTTCCAAAATAAAAGCAGATAATTCGTTCAAGATAAGCACGAGATAAAAGGATATGCAGTAGCAGAAACAACTTCTCTTCACAATGCTTATTATTTGTCCTATATCGCTGTTCCAGCAACTGTCTCATGCACTGTCGCAACAGTTGTCGGAACTCCCCCTGTGTTCATGCCATCGTTACTGTTCTTTTCTCCTGTTCTTTTCTCCCCCTTTCTGGGCAATCACCATGCAGAGATAACTCAACATGGACTAATGATCTTGATGATTCAAGCAAGCAGTTCAAACACTTAACAAAAAAATCAAAACGAAGAGAGAATCTTGGAAGTAAGTGAGAAGAATCACTATACATAACGTGCACAGAAAATCACAAACTCACAAACTCAATACCACACGATAATTGCAATGCGAAAATCAAAGGATAGTGATATCAAATCCAACATTAAATAGCAAAGACTACAGACTTTGCCAAACTTCATAAGAAACGTGGAAATGTGAGGAGTAAGCCCAATCGATCCGGTTGCAACAAAAAATCAAATTTAACCGGCACATAAACAAAAATCCCGTCTTTTTTTTTTTTTTTTTTTTTTTTTTTTTTTTTTTTTTTTAAATGCCTAATGCAAGACAAGAAGTAAACATGAAAAATAAACATGAGTGAAGAGACATATGTGAATAGGATACTGCATGGACAAACAAAACATATAGGATTTATCTTCACATTTACGACAAACGCAATCCCCAAAAATCCAACTGCCAATGCAACCAATAAACTTAATAATCCCAAGTCAAGCACAAAGATGCTCTTATTAGGTAGCGTACACACACGTCTAATGGTAGCTTTTTCCCATGAAAAACAGAGCAATTAAAAGGAACGAGATTATGCTGGTCGTGCAATGTGTAGTCCCCTGGGCTTTCTAATTGAGCTTTGTAGTGAGTGTTCGGTCAAGTGGTTTACTGGCTCGACTCAACTAGGCTTCGAACTATTCACTGACCATATGTATAATTTATATTGGACGTGCAATGTGTAGTCCCCTGGGCTTTCTAATTGAGCCGTGTAGCGAGCTTTCGGCCACGTGATTTACTTACTCGACTCAAAAAGGCTTCGAACTATTCACTGACCAAATGGTTGTAGATATATATATTAGTAACAGTAGTTCAAGAGTAGCTTTCACTCATTAAAAGAGGCAGCTTTTCCCTATAAAAACATCCAACCATGACAAGACTATTCAGAGAAATAAATAAGTTGGAGCCTTTTAAGTAATCATTTCGGGAATTGGTGAAGTTCTACCCCCACAAAATTTAGAAGTACACGAAGTATCAAACTCACATTAGTCTCAATCATATGCAGTATGCTTAATGCAGGTCCTATATGAGATGCAAAAACATATGAAGTGTCCTACCACTAAAAGTTGCAAGTCTGGACACACAGACTGTTGCAACAGTTCATGCAACTGCATCAGATTAAACAACATAAATTCCCAGCGATTTTCGCAAGGAATCAAATTTCTGTGCATCAAGGGTTTTTGCAAAAGCATCAGTTAATTCATTCTCCGTTGCACCATAATCAATTGAGACAACCCCCTTTTCGACCAAGCCCCTTATGAAAAGATGACAAATATCAGTAAGCTTAGTTCTCGAATGCTGAATTGGATTCATAAACTTATTTTTCGCATACAAATTATCACAATTCAGATTACCAAGTTTTTTATTCCCCAAACTAGCTTTGTCACCAGAACTGTTGGAACTGTTAGTACTATCATCACATGAGTTTAAAGAAGTAATGGCAGATAAACAATTAAGATCAGACTTCTTTACCCAGATTTTTTGTTGAGTTTTATTCACTAAATCAACCTTTATCTTGGGTTTTTGAGACGACACAAAAGTATGATCAATTTTAGCGGAAAGTGGTGAGCGGGCCATTATTCTTTTAACTAATTTCAAGTACTTAAAACACCTAGGTCGTATATGACCAGGAGCATGACAAAAATGACAGGTAGGGACAAAACGTTTTCTTTGAGATGACTGAGTTGATGCAACTGTCGCAACAGTTTGTGAAACAGTGGATTGTTTAACAAAATTGATTTTTCTTTTTGGATCTTCTTTCTGTTTCAATGCATCATTAGATAGCTGATTACGCCCTATACCTATACGACAGTAGTTCGGCTGATTTTTGTTCAAAATTTCATTCAAAGTTACTCTACCAGTATTAAACTTAGAAATAACATCTTGGGTTTGAACAAATTTAGCCTGCAAGCTATCTATTTCTCTACTAGAAGAAATAACATTTTGTTCAAGAGTAGAAATTCTTACCTTCAATACTTTGTTTTCCTCAATTAGAACAAGCTTCTCTTTTTCTAAGAATTTATTCGACTCGCATACCTGAAGCAATTTTTCGTACATCATTTCGTAGGACTTCTTTAATTCTTCCAAGGTTGTCTCGTCATCATCACTGTTGTTTTCTGAATCCTCATCATCACCTGCAAGAATAAAGGAAGTTAAATCGTTGTCGTCTATTGAAGGCAAATTATCATACCTGAGTTTTGTTGGAACTGTCTGTCCAACTGTTGCGACAGTTTCAGCGACAGTCTCTTTGCACTTGCTCATCTGAGTAGTTCCTTCGTAGGTCTCTTGTAGAACATCCCATGCCTCCTTTGCTGATTTGCACATCGATATCAATTTGAATTGGTCGTCATCGATACAACTCAAGATAGCATTGATTGCCTTGGAATTATAATTTGCTATTCGTACTTCTTCATCACTCCACTTCTCTTTTGGCGTTTGAATGATCTCGTGTGACTCATTCATTGAGGTAGGAGGTGTCCAACCAATTAGAATCGCGCGCCAGGCCCATTCATCGATAGATTTGATGAACATCTTCATCCTTATTTTCCAATCAGAGTAGTTCAATTCACCCAAGAGAGGTGGTAGGAATGCGCCTTCACGATGATTATTCATGTCTGCACAAAAAAAATAAAAAATAATTAAATCCCAAAATCTCACTAAGTGTATCTAGTGACAGGCTCTTGATGCCAATTGTTAGAATTTATTTCGTGCAGATATAAATTATTTGTGTCAGATTCAGTTTTTCGTTACTGTTGCGTGAAGAGTTGCAACAGTTCGTGAAACAGTTTGTAAAAACAGAAATAAACGAGACACAAATTTAATGTGGTTCGGATACAACTGTACCCTACATCCACGGGGACCTGCAAATAAAATTTACTAATTTTTAGTTTTACGAATACAATAATAGGACTTAATCAAAATACAAAGACTCCCTCTTTGTTGACGCCGTTCTTGTATACTACGCTGAATTATAAATCTTCAATTTGCAGCACGTCCCTTGCTCCGCACGGTTGAACTCCCTTCAACGCTGAATCCCTCAGTCGGCGGATCGATCTCCTCCCGAGATCTGTTTAAGCCCCTCTCCCGAAGAACCGATCTTCTTTTTGTATAGAAGAAGCAAACTTGTGATACTCCTTGAATCTGTGTCTTCACCACAAAGCCTTGAAGCCGGTATATTTTCTATGAAAATCACGTATCACGATGGAGCAATAAAAACGAGAGAAAAAAAATATTTCTCTGAAATCTTCTCTCGATTAACAAGACGCTCCAGGAGCAGCAAATATAAGAGCGGAAAAATATAATTTTTCTTCTCCAACAAAAGGCGTGCTACAGCAACCAAGAAAAGGGAGATCGACTTCTCTCCAAAAACGACGCCAATAAAAACGAGAGTAAAGAAAATATTCTGCGTAAATTTTTCTCTCAAAGAAGACGTGAGATCTGAGGCGCCGTATTGCTGTATTTATACTTCTACATGTTATAAGAATCCTACAAGGAAAAAAGAGTCCATTAGGGTTAGGAAACTCTTAATTACGTAGGAAATAATATTTTCAAAACAAGGAAACTCTTTAGAAGAATAATTCCTATTATAAATCAATTAATGACAAATTAAAAGAATTAAAAGCTACAAGGACTCTTCCCTTCTTTAGCTCATGGTATATGAAAACTTGTGGCACAAGTTTTATTAATTCTCGTACAATTAGAATCCATAGGATTCTAACATATGATAATTAAATTGTATGAAAATAAATCCACATGGTGGGTAACAGAGAGAAAGAACCATAAAAAACACACTATCCAAATGGATTATAATTTAGCTAGTGAATTTGCAAATTTGAATTACTATGAAGAAGGGAGAAAACTGGGAATAGCCGAAATAGGAGATGAAAAAATAATAACAATTGATTTTAAAAAACTACAAAAATGGTGGTTCACAACGGAGTCAGCTCCCCCTGCATGTGTATCTCCCTCTGTGAATGATCCTTAGGCAGCTCCTCTTGTAAATGCATTCATACTCCCCCTTTGCTTACTTGGCTTGGTAGACTTGGGAGGCGGTGGATGACGACGTGGTAAATTATCCACGTGATAAGAGACTCAGCAAATAACATCGGCATTATAGCTCCTCCTTTTATATTCTTGTGAAGACCTAAACCAATTAATGACAATAAACATCTCCATAGAATTTCACTTGGTGTTGTGGACTTAGAATCCCACGAGATTCTAACAGTGACAATGTATATAATTGAACAGATTTGACCTAAAGCTACACACAGCCGGAGTGATAGCAGCAACATTCGGAATGGCGAATCTGTTGGCCCGTCCGTTCGGAGGATTCGCTTCTGATTATATGGCTCGACATTTCGGAATGAGGGGTAGACTTTGGACACTTTGGACTCTTCAAACAATGGGTGGTGTTTTCTGCATTCTTCTTGGAAGAGCTACTTCTCTTCCAGTTGCCATAGCACACATGATCATCTTCTCCATCGGAGCTCAGGCTGCTTGTGGTGCTACTTTCGGTGTCGTCCCTTTTATTTCCCGGCGGTCTTTGGGAATTATATCAGGTTTGACCGGCGCAGGAGGAAACTTTGGTTCCGGGTTGACCCAGTTGTTGTTCTTCACAAATGCTAAACACAGCACCGGAACAGGGCTGAGCTATATGGGGATAATGATAGTGGCGTGCACACTTCCGGTGGCTTTTGTACACTTCCCGCAGTGGGGGAGCATGTTCCTTCCGCCGTCAAAGGGGGTTGTTGAAGAACAGTACTATATCAAAGAGTACAGTGAAGACGAGAGGGAGAAGAATATGCACCTCGGCAATATTAAATTCGCCGAGAACTGCCGATCTGAACGCGGCAATCGAGTGGCTTCCGTCGCCACGCCGCCGCATGCTTGATTATTATTTCTATTTATTTTATTTCATTGAAGGACTTTTGAAAGTTGTGTTTACTTTTTGAGTCTTTTTTAAATTTAAATATATAAAGATTCAATATAAGAAAATTATAGATTCGTGCGAACACATTCTAAAGTCAACATCACACATTAACAAATTCCAGCCTATAAGCTTTGGACGGTTCGTGTACAAAACAATTTTTAATTTTTAATCTATAAAAAGTCAATGCTAATTGCCATTTTTTAATTATTTTTTAATTATAATTAGTTCCAAAATTGTTGGTCCTTTTAGATAAACTCAAAGCTTTATTATATCATTATATATATATGCTAGTTGAATACATCACTATAAATAATAGCTCAATTATTAATTTGACGGATCACCTTTTTAATCAAATAATTTTAAATGAAGACGATAATTGAAATTAATTAATTAGTCTCAAATCTTATTGGCAAGATCATTTACCAGTTCTAAGAGTTAGATATTTAATGTGTTGTAGAAAACATTATAAAATAATAATTATGAGAAAACAATCTATAATTAGAACTCCTAAATATATGAGAAATTTTGATTATATATGTGTAGGTAACAATTTGTTACTAATAACGGTTGGTTTGATAGACGCGGAAGGGTTTTTGATAGGCCGTAGAGTAATTTTCAACATAATTCCAAAAATTGCTACCATTTAACAAATTCTATCATTTTCGGATTTCATCAACTAGGAATCAACAATAAACAAAATGGACAACGGTTATCCTAATTTTCAGGAATTTTTTTCATTTTTTTAAAAAATAAATTAGTTATTTGGTGTTGGTCAATAAAGAATCCCTACATGCGATTATGGATTCCCTGTCAAACAACAGGGAGTTAAAGCTGAAAACCGGGTTCCGCTTTGAACAACACGAAAATAACATTTTTTTCTTTTCAGATAGGCATATTCAAGAATCCTAAAATTAAAAATTTATCTCACATTTGTTATTTTATGAGTCGAAAAGTAGCGTCGAGAGATCTTTTAGATTGAGAGAATTAAAATAATGTTTTAAAATATAAAAAATTAATAGACATTGAAATTACTCTGAGACCTATCAATTTTCACTTTGTAAATACCATTTCATTAATAACAATATAATCCACAAATTTAATCTCCTTATCTGCATCCACCTAAGTTCTGGGATCATGGCAAAGACTTATAATGAAATAAATATTTCACATTTATCTATTCGTAAAATCTTTCAATATAGTTTATTGACAATATATTTAAGATACTTTACGAGAAATTTGAAAGTTATGAAAAATAATATACAAACTCCCAAATAATTAAGATATAATCTTTTTAATATTAAAGACAATAATTAATATGGAATTATGGAGTACTACTCATCGATTTATTTTTCGAATTTTAAATTAAATTACCTTTTGACAACCGTACGTAGCCAACGTGCGAAATTAATATAGCTCAATCATATATACTACGATCTACGAGTTTTCTAATAAGATATTAAATTAATTAATTAAGATTATGTTAATTAGTCAAACGCCCTTTTCGTATATAATTTCTTTTTCATATGAACACAGTCGAGATAACACGGAACCAACTTGATGAAGACCACTCTTACTGAGCATGAAAAGCTAAGTTGTGCAACTTGATATTATTAAGATATAAGGGGGGCCATGGCCCCGTTTTTCCTATATTGGCTTTGCCACTAATTTATTCTACATGTTTACGCTGAAGCATGTTTATTATTGTTTTACAAATTAAGTTAAAGTTGTTTCACATTTTATCGGAACGGAAAAAAGTATCTGAAAATTAAATTAATTCGGTATTTTAAAATAAAAAAAATTGAGCTTTAACAAACTTAATTACTTGGTTAATTGGGCCCTTTGAATGGTATATCATATATGCATAAATCATAATGCATCCTTTGGGATATTCGATAAGGCCAACGTACACTCAGATGCGGAAAAATGGATTCCTTATCATTAATTAAACTAATTAATCTTGCTTATCACTAATTAAACCTTAGTAATTAATTAATTAATTAATTAAATCCCAAGTTGCTCTTTAAAAGGCAACCAAAATTGTCAACGCCTCACACTATATAAACAGTCCGATTATTTCATAATTATACATCAAACACATTTCCTTACTTTTTCTCTATTTACTAAATACAACTTCAATATATAAAATGTCGACTGAAATAGAAGGATCTCCGGGAACTTCATGCATGGAGTCACCGGAGAGAGCCTGTGCTTGCGTTTTCGGTTGCTTC